TGAAAACAACAGTGGTCCTAAAACGGAACCTTTAGGAACACCGAAACTTACAATTGATTTGTCAGAGGACAAACCATCCACAGAGACAAACTGATATCTTTCCGACAGATAAGATCTAAACCAGGCAAGAACTTGTCCGCGTAGACCAATTAAGGTTTCCAATCTCTCCAAAATAAAAAAGATCCTGACTTGTCTCCCAGTCCCTGCCGCTGAAAAACATCCCCACAGCATGATGCTGCCACCACCATGCTTCACCTTAGGGATGGTGCCAGGTTTCCTCCATTTACATTTACATTTACGTCATTTAGCAGACGCTCTTATCCAGAGCGACTTACAAATAGGTGCATTCACCTTATAGCCAGTGGGATAACCACTTTACAATGTTTTTTTTTTTTTTTTTTTTTTTGGGGGGGGGGGGGGGGGGGGGGGGGGTAGAAGGATTACTTTATCCTATCCCAGGTATTCCTTAAAGAGGTGGGGTTTCAAATGTCTCTGGAAGGTGGTGAGTGACTCCGCTGTCCTGGCGTCGTGAGGGAGCTTGTTCCACCATTGGGGTGCCAAAGCAGCGAACAGTTTTGACTGGGCTGAGCGGGAACTATGCTTCCGCAGAGGTAGGGGAGCCAGCAGGCCAGAGGTGGATGAACGCAGTGCCCTTGTTTGGGTGTAGGGACTGATCAGAGCCTGAAGGTACGGAGGTGCCGTTCCCCTCACAGCTCCTCCAGACGTGACGCTTGGCATTCAGGCCAAAGAGTTAAAACTTGGTTTCATCAGACCAGAGAATCTTGTTTCTCATGGTCTGAGAGTCCTTTAGGTGCCTTTTGGCAAACTCCAAGCGGGCTGTCATGTGCCTTTTACTGAGGAGTGGCTTCCATCTGGCCACTCTACCATAAAGGCCTGATTGGTGGAGTGCTGCAGAGATGGTTGTCCTTCTGGAAAGTTCAAGTTGTAGAAACATCTCAAAGATGATCAATGGAAACAGGATACACCTGAGCTCAATTTCGAGTCTCATAGCAAAGGGTCTGAGTACTTATGTAAATAAGGCATTTCTGTTGTTTTTTTTAAAACTGTTTTCGCTTTGTCATTATGGGGTATTGTGTGTAGATTGATGAGGGAAAACATTTATTTAATCAATTTTAGAATACGGCTGTATCGTAACAAAATGTGGAAAAAGTGATTGGGTCTGAATGCTTTCAGAATGTTCTGTATTTGCCACTGCTCGACTAAAAAAATCTTGATCAATCAACAGCCTATCGACCAAACAGTTGACTAAATGGGGTCAGCCCTACTCTTATCCATAATAATCTCATCATGTAGACTATACCTGCACAGCCTACACACACTGTATACGCGAGCTGTTGGCTGGAGTGCCCGTGCCAAGACCAGAGTAGGCACATTGCTATTTAACGCAACAGTAGTTGTGACAACTGTCGGTATAGTTGAAAATGCGATGGAAACATATTTAACTTTAATCATTTAAGTCATTTTGGTGGAGACACACCACTGGTGGGAAAATTAAAATTTTGTTTATGCGGATTCTAGAGTATTCGCATGAAAATCTGTTGCCAATTGGATGGAAACCTAGCTAGTGACTGACATTACAAGGGAAAACCGACCGATGCCCAACCAAATTTCAACATTTAAAAATTCTACTATTCTTACTCTCAATAGTAAGTTGAGACCTGACTGAGTTCCTAAATATATATATATGTATATATATATATATATATATATATATATATATATATATATATATATATATATATATATATATATATATATATATATTAGGGGGTTGGGGGAACTTAGTGACTTAAGCGACTACTTATGTTTCGTATGCCTTGAGCCGGCCTTGATGACAGGCTATATTTGCATTGCGATTGTGAGTGTGCCTGTTGACCCTGTGAGTGCGTGCGCGGGGGTCGCAAGCTTTGAACCACTCCTTTTTGGGGGTCGCGGGTCAAAAGGTTTGAAAACCACTAAGCTAGCAAACAGATTGCTGATTTTCTGTACAGCCGTAGGATCGGGTGCAGTGCAAACGTCACATTGTAGGGAGCCATAAATTAATATGCAGCTCCAAAAATTGTTTGGTGATCAAGAATATGAACCACCTCTGACGTGATGTCATCACGTAACTATAAATCTCCACCACACATTTAATGATATGCTTACTACTGCTTGCTAAATCCATTTTGCAACTATACAAATAATGTTTCTCTGCAGGACAAGGATTGTCCTGATTTTCAAGAATGCCTGAATTGCTTCACCTTGCTTTTCTGGTTGGCTGGCAAGTTTCACTATCCAATTATTTAAGATCTACAGGAGTGCAAGTTTCACCATGGCACGGACCGTGGCGATATGTTGGTTAATGAAAATAAGGCTATTAGAATATGGCAAATATTAGTCAATTATTGCATTCTATCCATGCTGGAAATATGCACATTTCCCACCAGTGTTGTGTTTCCACCAAACGGACTTGTTGCAGATACAAATCAATGCATGAGGACGTAGTGCACACAAACAGTACTTTTTCGCTTAAGTTTATATGTACCGAATAAAAATCGAATGTTCAATGTGTTTCCATCGCATTTTCAATTCTACCGATAGTTTTGTCACAAAAACTGTTGCATTAAATAGCAAATGTGCCTACTCTGGTCATTTAGCCAACAGCTGGCAGATACAGTGTGGGTAGGCTCCACAGGTAGGCTAGTCTACATGATAAGTTTATGGAAAAGAGCGAGAATGTTTCAATTTGTCAAAATGGCAGTCAAGCATCGATCATCATGTCACCAGAATAAGACCCTTGATATTTATTGGAAAGGAGCATCAAGCTCATACCATGCAATTTCACCACAATGTGAAGTTCATCATAATTTATTTCATCTGTAGCCTAATTTAAACTGTATGGTTTCCTGAGTCATAGTGGGAGGACCACACACCATGTCATCGCGTGACTCCAAATGTACTTCCACGTGATGGTTATTAGGGCTATATCAATATTTGCCCATAAAGGCATTTCCACCGCCATTTCTCGCATAATTAATTTTACCAACACAAAAAGATCCCATGTCAAACAAACAAATTATCTGCCAGCTTTTATAAAATTGTACCGAAACTTCCTGTTTCCATCACAGCTGTCATTATTATTTTTTTAATATGGTATGACTTATAGACACAAGATAGTTAATGGAAACATAGCTACTGAATGTGGCTGTAAAATCTCTCATGCCATCATCCCATCATGTCACCATGCATGTGGCCTCAAATATACCCACCTATCACCAAGCCATGTTGTTCTTAAAGTTGTGTGTAGCTCAAAGATAAATTCGTGAAATCTTTGTGGGATTTAAAAAAAATAGATTATATAAACATTTCGTAACTTTTCAGTGTTTTGAATGAAGTGGAAAGTCAAAATCACTTTTTATTCTCCTGACCTTTTCATACTGACTGAAAAAGAGTGCCAGTGCTTTTGAGAATACTTTTCTTTGAATGTCTTTCAAACTGAATCGTGACTGCCCCTATTCTCAGTTTTCTATTACTTCTAGGCCTGTGCAGTTTTCTTTAAAAAATACATAATGAAACCATCTTTGAAAGCAGCCAATTACAATACTAATGTTGCCTCCTGCTGCTGCACACAAAGAGATTGGTTTGGGCTTTTGAGAATGAATAGTATGCTGCAAATTAAAAGCATGAGCTGACGCACACCCAAAAGTGTTTGTAGAGGTGCTGACTAATGGAAGGTAAACTGTGTTAAAAAATCGAATAAAAACAAAGAATAAAAGAATAAAATAAATTAATGAAACATCCAGCAAAACACCACAGAGCTGTTTGGAATCAGGAAAAATCACAGAAAAGAGTGTGACTTTCTATGTGTGCAATTTCCTAAGATACCTACTTTTTAAACAGTCCCTAAATTACACAAGCATCTCCTCCCCCATGTAGACATGTTCTGCGTTCACATGCTAGTCGGAACTAGGAACCTCAGAGTTAAAATGAACATAAATGATTTGTGTAGAGCTTCCTATTGGTTGATTTTGATACTTCTCAAGTGGGAAACTCGGGATCATCTTTCAACAGTGAGTTAGTCGAAAATGTCAGCGTTTCCTAGTTCTGACTAGCACGTGAACACAGCTTTATGTTGTAAATACCAGTTACATGCATTCACATGCTTTGAACTCGTTGAGAAATGCAGATTGGCGAATGGCAAACAAGCTGCGTCAACCATAAACTAAATGTACAGCTATCATGCTTGTAAAACATATTATAGTCTTCAAAAATCATATTAATAGATTGCTTTTTATTAAGAATGTTTTGTTGTTGCATTTAACTGCTGATGCTGTTATCAAGGTAATTTCCTTAGTAGGTGACGTCAGAGGTCGGCATGTGGGAGAAGTCAGAGCTCAGTGATGATAGATGAGTTTCCTACTAGTAATTACCAGTTGGAGGGGCATTCAAGTGGATTTTTCCCTGTCGTATGTGGTAAATACCAACTTCCCACTTGGTTATGAATGCAGGGTAAGGGCTCGTTTCTCTGCTCAGATGTTGCCTGCCAGATCTTACAACACCTGGATAGGTATTTTACTTATCAGCTAACCACATCATATGTTATAGCAATATGGTGACCGACTGAACAGTCGATGACGTGGGATTGGTTGATGCATGCAACATCTGAGCAGGGGAACGCAACCCTATTGTGGCAGGAATCAACTCTGAGACATCTAACATTTCCGAGTTCATGGATCATCACATCAAACCGATGGTTGAGAATCTCCCATTTCATGTCAAAGACACTAGTCACATGATATCATTGGTGGAGGGCCTGGGAAAGTGCCAGAGGGCACCCTATTGGTCACTTTTGATGTGGATAGCTTGTACACCATCATTGCATACACAGGTCTACAAGCGCTACAACACTTCCTCCAGCAGAGAGACCCTACCCTTGCGCCATCCAATTAATGAATCCTGCGATTCACTGAACTGATATTTCGTACTTCGTTTTTGAGTCCGACTTTGTTCTCCAAATTAGGGGTGTGGCCATGGGCTCCTCCTTCACCGCCAACTATGCTAATCTATATGTGGGACAATTTGAGGAAGAGCTCATTTACAAAACAGAGACACCCCTTCCTGTCAAAAATCCTCCTATGGAAGATGTACATCGATGATGGGCATTGCTGACGCCTTCCAGATCTTACAACGCCTGGATAGGTATTTGACGTATCAGCTAACCACATCATATGTTATAGCAATCTGTCAGTTGATGACATAGTCGATGACGTGGCACGCAACCATTGCTTGATGCACGCAACGTCTTAGCAGGGGAACGCAACCAATATCTTTGTCCTCTGGGGAGGAAGTCAACAGGAGTTAAATTAGTTCCACACTCTGCTAAATGAGATCTCTGAATATCTCAAATTCACCATGCAGACTGATGAGAGACAAATACGCTTTCTGGACTTATGAATCACTAAAGAGAATGACGCATTGCACACTAACTTGTACACAAAGCCCACAAACCCCAACACCCTGCTCGTGCAGACAGTATGCACCCCCTCCCACTCAAGAATGGTTTACCATATAGTCAGTTGTGTAGGGTTAAACTAATCTGTGGCCAACAGTCTGATTTTGATACCAAGGCTAGACAGACACATTCAAAATGAGAGGCTACAAGGACACAACTCTTGCTGGTGCAATAGTGAAAATATCCCAAAGACTAAGAGAGGAACTTCTCAAAACTAAGCCAAAAAAGAAAAATGGAGAAAATTAAAGCTATCCTGAAAAAGCACTGGTACAGTGAGGGAAAAAAGTATTTGATCCCCTGCTGATTTTGTACGTTTTCCTACTGACAAAGAAATGATCAGTCTATAATTTTAATGGTAGGTTTATTTGAACAGTGAGAGACAGAATAACAACAAAAAAATCCAGAAAAATGCATGTCAAAAATTGTACACATTGATTTGCATTTTAATTAGGGAAATAAGTATTTGACCCCCTCTCAATCAGAAAGATTTCTGGCTCCCAGGTGTCTTTTATACAGGTAACGAGCTGAGATTAGGAGCACACTCTTAAAGGGAGTGCTCCTAATCTCAGCTTGTTACCTGTATAAAAGACACCTGTCCACAGAAGCAATCAATCAATCAGATTCCAAACTCTCCACCATGGCCAAGACCAAAGAGTTCTCCAAGGATGTCAGGGACAAGATTGTAGACCTACACAAGGCTGGAATGGGCTACAAGACCATCACCAAGCAGCTTGGTGAGAAGGTGTCAACAGTTGGTGCGATTATTCGCAAATGGAAGAAACACAAAAGAACTGTCAATCTCCCTCGGCCTGGGGCTCCATGCAAGATCTCACCTCGTGGAGTTGCAATGATCATGAGAACGGTGAGGAATCAGCCCAGAACTACACGGGAGGATCTTGTCAATGATCTCAAGGCAGCTGGGACCATAGTCACCAAGAAAAAAATTGGTAACACACTACGCCGTGAAGGACTGAAATCCTGCAGCACCCGCAAGGTCCCCCTGCTCAAGAAAGCACATATACAGGGCCGTCTGAAGTTTGCTAATGAACATCTGAATGATTCAGAGGAGAACTGGGTGAAAGTGTTGTGGTCAGATGAGACCAAAATCGAGCTCTTTGGCATCAACTCAACTCGCCGTGTTTGGAGGAGAAGGAATGCTAACCCATGACCCCAAGAACACCATCCCCACCGTCAAACATGGAGGTGGAAACATTATGCTTTGGGGGTGTTTTTCTTCTAAGGTTGAGGACAACTTTACCGCATCAAAGGGACGATGGACGGGGCCATGTACCATCAAATCTTGGGTGAGAACCTCCTTCCCTCAGCCAGGGCATTGAAAATGGGTCGTGGATGGGTATTCTAGCATGACAATGACCCAAAACACACGGCCAAGGCAACAAAGGAGTGGCTCAAGAAGAAGCACATTAAGGTCCTGGAGTTGCCTAGCCAGTCTCCAGACCTAATCCCATAGAAAATCTGTGGAGGGAGCTGAAGGTTCGAGTTGCCAAACGTCAGCCTCGAAACCTTAATGACTTGGAGAAGATCTGCAAAGAGGAGTGGAACAAAATCCCTCCTGAGATGTGTGCAAACTTGGTGGCCAATACAAGAAACGTCTGACCTCTGTGATTGCCAACAAGGGTTTTGCCACCAAGTACTAAGTCATGTTTTGCAGAGGGGTCAAATACTTTTTTCCCTCATTAAAATGCAAATAAATTTATAACATTTTTGACATGCGTTTTTCTGGATTTTGTTGTTGTTATTCTGTCTCTCACTGTTCATATAAACCTACCATTAAAATTATAGACTGATCATGTCTTTGTCAGTGGGCAAACGTACAAAATCAGCAGGGGATCAAATACTTTTTTCCCTCACTGTATATTCTGCAATCAGACCAAAAAACGGCGCACTTTTTCCAGGAACCCCCCTTGGTGGTGTACAAACGTGGTGACATCATTGGGGCCAGCCTAGTGAGATCAGACCTTCCCCCTGAGCCCACTCAGACACTCTTGGCACCCATTCCAAATTGAAATGACAAATGTGGTTCATGCGCACAATGCAATTGCGCCACAAAAACATCCTTCTTCAGACACCCACATACAGGCTGTAAAATCCCTGTTAGGTGTGACATCTCATGGAAGACAAAGGGTGTTATCTATCTTATGACCTGTTCGTGCCGGAAAGCTTACATTGGGCAAACGAAAAGACAACTAAAACAACCAATAGCTGAACACCACAGCTCAATCAGGTGTAAGAACACTGACTACCCAGTAGCAGCCCACTTTGTTGAAGCTAACCATCCCATCTCCTCCCTCAAATACATAGGTATTGAGCATGTTACTATACCAAAAAGAGGATGTAACATCAAGACCCTTCTACTACAGAGGAAGGCTTACTGGATCTCCTACAACAAAAAAAAAGATTTTTATTCATAATGACTTCAACTCAATGAACATATTTGCCCACAGCTAATTAACTTACACTGCATATCATGTTTCCCATGTTGATGATGCATTTAGTTTGAACCACAAGAATATATGAAATGATATAATGAAACAAAGATTAAATTAAACTAAATGTAACAATAATGATTGATGATAATAACGTAATATATTATACTATATCTAATAAGATTATGTAAATAATTGCCCCATGTATTCAACGTCTTGACATGCTGTAAAGTATCGTTTTTTAACAGTTCCACTTCATCCTTTATTACCTTAACTACTATGACACACCCCTCACTGTGTTCATTGGCTGCACTAATTGCACAGTTTGTCTACATATGCCGGGTTCACGTGCCAGTCGGACTAGGAACTAGGGAATTCTGAAATTTCCGACTTGCTAACTCAGAGGTGTCAAACTCATTCCATGGAGGGCCTAGTGTCTGCTGGTTTTTCCTTTCAATTAAGACCTAGACAAGGTGAGTGGAGTTCCTTACTAATTAGTGACCTTAATTCATCAATCAAGTATAAGGGAGGAGTGAAAACCTGCAGACACTCGGCCCTCCGTGGAAAGAGTTTGACACGTGTGTTAAGTGGTTGAACGCGTCACTTGTATGACTAGTTAGCAAGTTGGACATTTCAAAGTTTTCTAGTTCCGGCTAGCACGTGAACCCGGTAATAACCTGGTTCAAACATTTACCATGTAACCCTGAGGAAGGCGCTGAGTGCCGAAACGTAGGTTGTGAATTCAATCGTTTGGAGCATATTTAGAGTGTGTGATTTTCTTAATTTTTATATGCTTAAAAATACCCCCCAAAAGAAAAAAGTAGACCCAACCCATAGAGCTAGATAGAGGACTCTAGTGTCCAAAAGCTTGTGTTAACATGGCAGCGCCATTGAGAACTTGTATCATTTTGAAGTAGTCAACTGGGTGGGACTACTGAGGTATATATGAACTGTAGACAGCGTCCAATATGGACGCCCGTTGTTTTCAATGTAATCTACTCACGGTTGCATAGGCCTACGCCATTTCGTAGGGTTTGCCATCTTTCTAGATCCGGTTTTACTGGGATTACTACGTCTGCGCACTAGCACTCAGTGCACACGGAGCAGCAAAGATATCATTGCGTCATCCAAAATCATGACAGACATTGGATGAATATAAAATGTTAATATCTTTGGCTGTGAGTGATGGAAAAAATCGGCCTCTGCTACAAATATTTTAATAATTAAATGGATGTTTTGTGCACAAAGGTGATGACTAAAGTGTCTTATTAGGAATTTTCAAATCTGACTTCTCTATGGGGCCGTCTATGGGAATTGTAGTACCGAAGCAAGACTGTAGGGACAGTCAAAAGTGTGCTTCCCATAGAGATAGATAAAGGACTCATTTTTATATCTGTGCTATGATAGCATCTGTGACAGCATAGGCAGAGCCATTGAGGCTACAACCCATAGGAATCCCCACCTATTTGACTACTTTGACTACTTTAAAATGGCGGAAGCATGGTGGAAGCCCTCAATGGCACTGTCCATGCTAAAATGGCCTTTTAGCCACTAGAGGCCTCTGTCATTCTCTATGGTGCTTCCAGACTGGAACCCTGGCCCCTTGGGTGGGACTTCCTAATGGTTAAGGAAGGATCACATAATTCCATCTGGGTCATCATGAGGGATCAACCAGTTAATTATACTCGTGAGCAAACATTCCATAACTGCAGGTGGCAGTAAATCGACAACCTTGGCTTTATACCAGTTAAAACAACACCCTGCAGGTGGCAGTATGCACCCTTTCAGTTTGTTTACCAACTCATACAGTGCCTTCAGAAAGGACAGTATTTATACCCCTTGGCTTATTCCACATTTTGTTGTGTTACAGCCTGAATTCAAAATAGATTAAATATATGTTTTATACAGTGGGGGAAAAAAGTATTTAGTCAGCCACCAATTGTGCAAGTTCTCCCACTTAAACAGATGAGAGAGGCCTGTAATTTTCATCATAGGTACACGTCAACTATGACAGAGAAATTGAGAGAAAAAAAATCCAGAAAATCACATTGTAGTATTTTTTATGAATTTATTTGCAAATTATGGTGGAAAATAAGTATTTGGTCACCTACAAACAAGCAAGATTTCTGGCTCTCACAGACCTGTAACTTCTTCTTTAAGAGGCTCATCTGTCCTCCACTCGTTACCTGTAATAATGGCACCTGTTTTAACTTGTTATCAGTATAAAAGACACCTGTCCAAAACCTCAAACAGTCACACTCCAAACTCCACTATGGCCAAGACCAAAGAGCTGTCAAAGGACACCAGAAACAAAATTGTAGACCTGCACCAGGCTGGGAAGACTGAATATGTCATAGGTAAGCTGCTTGGTTTGAAGAAATCAACTGTGGGAGCAATTATTAGGAAATGGAAGACATACAAGACCACTGATAATCTCCCTCGATCTGGGGCTCCACGCAAGATCTCACCCCGTGGCGTCAAAATGATCACAAGAACGGTGAGCAACACACTACGCCGCCAGGGACTCAAATCCTGCAGTGCCAGACGTGTCCCCCTGCTTAAGCCAGTACATGTCCAGGCCCGTCTGAAGTTTGCTAGAGTGCATTTGGATGATCCAGAAGAGGATTGGGAGAATGTCATATGGTCAGATGAAACCAAAATAGAACTTTTTGGTAAAAACTCAAATCGTCGTGTTTGGAGGACAAAGAATGCTGAGTTGCATCCAAAGAACACCATACCTACTGTGAAGCATGGGGGTGGAAACATCATGCTTTGGGGCTGTTTCTCTGCAAAGGGACCAGGACGACTGATCCGTGTAAAGGAAAGAATGAATGGGGCCATGTATTGTGAGATTTTGAGTGAAAACCTCCTTCCATCAGCAAGGGCATTGAAGATGAAACGTGGCTGGGTCTTTCAGCATGACAATGATCCCAAACACACCACCCGGGCAACGAAGGAGTGGCTTCGTAATAAGCATTTCAAGGTCCTGGAGTGGCCTAGCCAGTCTCCAGATCTCAACCCCATAGAAAATCTTTGGAGGGAGTTGAAAGTCCGTGTTGCCCAGTGACAGCCCTAAAACATCACTGCTCCAGAGGAGATCTGCATGGAGGAATGGGCCAAAATACCAGCAACAGTGTGTGAAAACCTTGTGAAGACTTACAGAAAACGTTTGACCTGTGTCATTGCCAACAAAGGGTATATAACAAAGTATTAAGAAACTTTTGTTATTGACCAAATACTTATTTTCCACCATAATTTGCAAATATATTCATAAAAAATCCTACAATGTGATTTTCTGGAGAAAAAAAATCTCATTTTGTCTGTCATAGTTGACGTGTACCTATGATGAAAATTACAGGCCTCTCTCATCTTTTTAAGTGGGAGAACTTGCACAATTGGTGGCTGACTAAATACTTTTTTCCCCCACTGTACACAAAACCCTATAATGACAAAGTTAAAACATTTTTAGAAATGTTGGCAAATTTATTGAGAATGAAATACTGAAATATTCACACCCCTGACTAAATACTTTGTAGAGGCACCTTTGTCAGTCTTTCTGGTTAAGTCTCTAAGAACTTTCCACACCTGGATTGTGCAACATTTGCCCATTATTCTTTTCAAAATTCTTCAAGCTCTGTCAAATTTGTTGTCCATCAATACTAGACAATCATTTTCAGGACTTGCTATATATTTGGCCTTGTGTTTTAAGTTATTGTCCTGCTGAAAGGTGAATTCATCACCCAGTGTCTGGTGGAAAGCAGACTGAACCAATTTGTCCTCTAGGATTTTGCCTGTGCTTAGCTCCATTCTGTTTCTTTTTTATCCTGCAAGACTCCCCAGTCCTTAATGATTACAAGCATTACAAGCACCATAGCATGATGCAGCCACCACTATGCTTGAATAATATGGAGAGTGGTACTCAGTAATGTGTTGTATTGGATTTGCAGCAAACTGTTATTATTGTATTCAGGACAAAAACTAAATTGCTTTGCCACATTTTTTGCAGTATTACATGTTTTGGAATATTTTTATTCTGTACAGGCTTCCTAACCACAATGTTGTTGATCCATCCTCAGTTTTCTCCTCTGTAACTGTTTTAAAGTCACCATTGCCTCATGGTGAAATCCCTGAGCGGTTTCCTTCCTCTCCGGCAACTGGGTTAGGAAGGACTCCTGTATCTTTGTAGTGACTGGGTGTGTTGATACTCCATCCAAAGTGTAAATAACTTCACCATGCTCAAAGGGATATTAAGTGACTGCTTTTTATAATGGATACCCATCTACCAATACGTGCCCTTCTTTGCGAGGCATTGGAAAACCTCCCTGGTCTTTGTTGTTAATTCTATGTTTGAAATTCACTGCTCGACTGAGGGACCTTACAGATAATTGTATGTGTGGGGTACAGAGATGAGGTAGTCACTCAAAAATCATGTTAAACACTTATTGCGCACAGAGTGAGTCCATGCAACTCATTAAGCACATTTTTACTCCTGAACTTATTTAGGCTTGCTATAACAAAGGTGTTGAATACTTATTGACTCAAGACAATTCAGCTTTTAATGTTATGTGTAAAAAAATTGAAATACATAATTCCACTAATGGGGTACTGTGCGTAGGCCAGTGACAAAAAATCTAAATTGAATACATTTTCAATTCAGGGTGTAACACAACAAAATGTGGAAAAAGTCAAGGGGTGTGAATACTTTCTGAAGGCACTGTGGAAGTAGTAGAAGAAGAAAATGTACTACTTCAAAAAGGAGATGGCCTCAATGTGTCACGCCCTGACTCAGAGGACGCTTATATGTTGAGTCTGGGTGTGTATATTCATTGTTGTGTTGTTCTATGTTGTATTCTCTACGTTTAGATCTAGGATGTCTAGATCTATGTTGGCCGGTGTGGTTCCCAATTAGAGACAGCTGTCGCTCGTTGTCTCTGATTGGGGCCATACTTAGGCAGCCTATTGGCACTAGTGTGTTGTGGGATCTT